TTCCACCCTTTCCAGATGTTTATGCTGAACTTCCAGATGTTTTCCTTGCATTTATTGCTTCATTATAAGTAAGGGACTGTCTTCAACACAGTGAGACTCCTTTAAATGTCAACAGTTTATCCAAAAAGAACCTTTACTTATTTATCTGGCACATTAGCTTCCAAATCTTACAGAGTAAACCACATTCCTCGAAACAAAGTAGATGGTCTTACAGGTGGAAGAGACCTAAGTGTCCTTTCAGTTTCCAGGAACATAATGGGTAAGCAATTGTGAATTAATTGTTTGCTCTCCCTACATCCTGGGGGCTTGCTGTGGTGCTTTGCTCAACAGGCATGCATAATTTTAGCCAGACACCACTGAGAACTCACCCAACACAGAAGGCTAATTGGCAGGATTGGTAAAATACACATAAGAAGGGTTGTCGCTATTATGGCTATTTAAAATTAATGTACAAAACCTCAATATCATAATCTTCAAGTCTAACTCCTAAGCGGAGAAGAATGTCTAAAGATTTGTATGGAGGTATAGGGAAGAGTTATCCACACTGTATAAACAAGAGCTGACAAAATAAGTATGGGTGCTTAATCAGTATTTAGGCAGAAGAACATAAAGGCTAACGTATCAACAGCAACATTCTAAGCTGGTAGTTATCTACAAATGCGGACACATAAGAACCCCTAAAAGACCCTAGCCTTTCATTGCTTTTCCCAGCCCATGAAAATCCAGAGCAGAGGTAGTTTTTCCAGTCCTGAGCTCTGTTACAATTTTTTGGTGCTTTCACTGCTTCTTAAAATAGCAGTTAGACATTGTCATCCATGTTGGGTCCAAACTTCCATTCCAACCCGTCAAATGAATTCAGAGTCTAACTATGGCCTCCACCAGAAAAACAGTTTAGCTTTGTCCTTAAATGTAAGATAAGAAAATGTAGAGGATGGAAGGGAGGATGCCAAATTTCAGCTGTAGTTACTGCTAGGTTTCTGCCTGTTCCCTTCATTGCTCATTTAAATGTAACACATGGTGGTGGAGAAAGGCAGTGTCCTTGAGCTGCAAGCCAAACCAGACCTGATTTTACGACTATGTGTAGTACACAGATCAGCCCTGCCTTAGCTCCAGCGCAAAGGAAAGGCATGCTCTAGAGAAAGAGCTTTATGTTCCTTGTTACTTTCGAAAGATTTCAAAAGCAGCCTTGTTAAAAGAAAAAGGGCTCAACTATGAAATCACTTCCTTCTGTTTAAAATATTTTACACAAGGAAAAAAAAACCACACACACAACAAAAGGGCATGAAAAGGAAAAAGAAAATAATCTGTTCTCTGCTTCTGACTTGTTCCTAGGATGCAGTATCCCACCCGCTCTGTGGGATGACGCAGTGTGCCAGATCCCGACCGCTCCAGCCAGCGCGTCAAGCAGCCGTAGCCCTCCCCACACAATCACCCTCTTGTCAGAGGTGGCTGGCGGCCGCCCCACACATGCTGACAGCATCGCGGCCGGGAGGACTGCACCTTCTCCGTTTGGAGCAATGCAGCAAGGCGGGAGGAGGGCAGGCCGTGTTAGGCAGCTAGCAAACAAGCAGCTCTTGTGTTAATTCCCTCCTCCTCCTGCCCCTCAAAACGCAGCGTGGATGGGGACAGTGGAAAAGACAATCTTCTGCTTGCAGAAGCAAGGCCTTTGCTGGGAGTAAAGCCAGCAGGACAACTTCGGGAAGACCCGCTTATGAAAGTTTAAAAGTCAAACGAACAGTTCATTGCTAATCAAATCACAAGGGGGTTACTTATGGCTGAGCAGCATTTTAACAAAGATCCTAAGATGAGGACTGGTTTGCTTCTATCTGCCAGTGCTCATAGGTTTACTCATACTCTCAGCTGTTTTTCCTTGGTTCCCAAGGCACCCTCCCTCACCTCCAAAATTAATTGCCTCCTCCTGGGTAAGTGGGCTATCACACACCAACTTCCTTCCCCACTCAGCTGTGGGGCAGAAAAGGAGGAAGAGGAATCCTAAAAATAAACTGAAACCCTTCCTTTCTCCTCTCCATCTCCAGCAAAAAGTTAGTTTCTGCCTCAGACGGCAATGCATTACTCCGATCTGCACCGTTAAGAAAGGCAGGGGGTCTCTTCCTCTGCATTATTGCTGTTCACAGATGCAGAAGAAGCCAGATTGCATGAGATAAGCATCGAGCAAGTTGGTCCAGGCAGCCAAAGATAACCACCTTTTTTGCCTTTCCCAAAACTGAAGAAGATAAACTTGCAGTACTATGCATTGACTGCCTTTACAAGAAGGCACTCAGGAAGTACAACACTTGAAATTAAATCATCTGCTTGTGTAAATTTTAAGCCAGAATTGCAAGCAGACTGCAAGCAGTGCCAGAACACCAGGATGCCTGCCCGATCAACAGGCTGATACACCGCCTACTACAAACCGAAACACCACCTAACCAAGTGCTTCAAAGTGATGATCAGCTGTTTTTCTTTAGAACCACAAAACAATACGCCATTGGAAGTGCAAATTCAGTGATATGGACAGTTTACGGCAACTAATGAACATTTCTCACAGTTCATCTAGAATTCTGCTTAACACCTTGATGCACAAACTTTTAACTTCCCAAAAGTCTCTGGTCTCTGTGGTTGCCCCCAGGCCTGTTTCTTGGCTTCAGGCTTTTATTTTTTTTTTTTTTTTAAATTTGTTAATTTTTTAAAAAATTACTTTTACTTTTTAGTTAAAAGCACCCCAAACCCACAGTGGTTTCCTAGACAACTTTATCTTGCAACTGTGTCTCACGTGGTAAGGAGGTGAAAGCATTGCTGCTTCTTTACACTATAGCCCTATGACCGACCTCCTCCAACCAAAGAAACCACACTGCTGTAAAAAAAAACCCAGAACCAAACAAAAACCCCTTTTCAAAATCACACTGAAGTGGAAGATCTAAATACAGGATGAAGAGTGCCACAGCCTGGGGTTCCCTTTCTTTTCTTCAAACAGATTTAATAAAATAATATGTGGCCTCTCTCTGTAAATGGTGTTTTATGCAGATTAGAAAAGGTGCTAAAGCAGAGTGTGTGCACAACACTGAATGAATTTAACTGCACCACCAACGAGAAATAAAGTCCTGTTTTGAAGAAAGCTTCCACTCGTGCTACCTCCAGTCCTGAAAAATCTTAATCCAAATAGCTCCAATAAGGAATCAGAGATATTACTGAACTACATCAGCAACTAAATTTGAGTCACCTTTGGTTTGGCTAATGCTACTTAGCCTCTGGAGTTCCACTGTTTCTAGAACAATACCTGGAAAAAATAAGGTACTTGATAAAGAAAAAAAAAAAAAAGCTGGTTTATATTCCTTGTACACCTCTACTGTTGCAGCCACACTGGGTGGCCTGTACATCTTCGCTGTGACCCCTGCTCATAGGAGAATGCTGGAGAGCGCAGTCACTACCTAGCCTTCCAGCTGCATACACACCTCTAGTCACATACATGCTTGGGATTAGCTGCCATGTGCTATTTATTTATTTATTCATTCCTACAACTCTGCATTGCACTGGTATAAGCGCTTACAATTTCTCACTCACTACTTTTTTAAAAAAAAAAAAAAAGTCTGAGCCAGTCTTTCACATCACAGGAAATCACTGCTGTATGAATAGCAATTCCTTCAGGAGGAAAAACAAGGATCTATTTCTTAAAAAGACACAGCAAAGTCTGAATTTTCTTTGTGTTCTTAATCTCATTTTGCCTTCTTCAAGGAGGATCATGGAGGTGGAGAGGTGGCAATCAAGAGAGGTTTTGCCCACCACTACAGCCTCCCTCACAAAACTTATGGATTCTTCTCCTGAAGAAATCAGTGGAACATGGAGGAATGAGACATCAATGGCTGGACAGGCTAGCCAACTACACAGTTCATATTCTGGTTACAACGCTAAACACTGTGTCTGAAAGCAACATGTACATTCTTAAACTAACATGAGTTAACATAGTGACTCAGTAAATATCTGCAACTATTCTGACATGTTTGTGCAGACAGTAACTGCTAGAAAGCACAAGTCTTATAGTAAGGCCATGGAAATCAGGACGTCAAAGCAAGACCTGTGTACCATGTTGGAGGACCTTGTGAGTGGGAACACAGGTTGGGACAAGATGACAACTGACACCATCTCTGTCTGCCCGCAGCTCACTCATCTGCCGCAAAAAAGAGCAGAACAAACTGCAAAGAACATCACCAGGGAATGGTACTCAGTATCCAGGCTGTAAGGAAACAGAGAGCCCCAGACAAAAGCCAAATACAACCAGTCACAAAATGACAGGAACCTTCTGACTCCAAAGTCTGTCATGACATTTGCCTCATGTTTGACCCTTTTCCAAGCCTTGAAACGTAGGCACGTCCTGAGCAGTGTGCTTAAGCACACCAGTGCCTCACATGCTAGTTTTCTGTATTAGCAAACTGGCAGATACTCAGATGTGCCCAATATTATAGACTTGAGTGAACTGTACATGTTGTCCGGCTTAACACACAAAATCTTTCAAGCAATAGCCTGTATGTAGCTCCTCATTGTTCTCCAGACATGGGAATACTGACTGAATACACACAATAACTTTTGGGTGGCAAAAAGAAGATGAGGTACTTCAGTGGAAGATTGAGCCTTCCCTGTACTTTTTTAAGGCTGTAGCCATTCGGCATCTTCAAAGGCAGAAGGGTGAACACTGCACAGGATAGGCTGCTACAACAGGTTTTAAACCTGCATTGCTGCAAAAAGCCATCACCTCACATCTCACGGTCCTAGATTTTCATCAGTTTCATGTTACAGGGCAGAGTGACCAGATCTTTTATATATGGAATTCCATAAACAAGCCTGATAGCTCCAACACAGTAATGAATGCTGGGGGTTTTTATTGTTGCTACTGCTTCTAGTGTCTTCCAAATGCTGCCAACCTCCCAGAAGCTGGACATGCATTACTGAAATCACCTGATAAGGAACAGAGGGGGTTGAATAGGAGAGGCAAATTAAGCACTTACCAAGCACAATGACCACAGTCTTCAGGAGGCTCATCATGGTGTCCCGATTCCTGCGGGGTCCAGAACTGTGTCTGGACATTCTCATAGTCCTTTGGCGGACGTACCCAAAAATATGAGCATATAGGACCACCATGACCACAAAAGTGACCAGGTTGAAAATAGCCCAGAAGACCAGGTAGGAGTCACTATAAAGTGGTGCCATGTTGGAGCAGTGAGTGATATCACAAATACAGTTCCATCCGACACTTGGTATGGCGCCCATGACGATGGCCATAGTCCAGATAACAACAATTACAACCACCACTCGCCGGTTGCTCATCCGAGTATGTAGCTGCATTCGGAAAACTGTAATGTGCCGCTCAATAGCAATGGCCAACAAATTGGCTACAGAGGCCGTCAGGCTAGTGTCAATGAGACCCTGACGGAGAAGCCAGGTGCTTACAGTCAGTCTTCTAGTATTGGGTCCTGTGTTGAACATTAAGTAAAAGTAGGCGAGCCCTGCAAAAAAGTCCGCAGCGGCTAAGTTGGCCATTAAGTAATAAATAGGAAAGTGGAATCGGCGGTTGACATAAATAGCCACCATAACTAAGAGGTTGGCCAGCATTATGAAGATGCAGACGGTAATCCCCAGTCCCATTACAAGCTTGCTGACAGTGTTCCATTCAGTGGCTAGGTATTTTCCACTTCGGTTATAAAAGAAGGCAATAGTTTCATTGTAGTAGCACTGTGGTTCGCTCATGGCCGTGGACTGAAAGAAAATGGGGAAAAAAAAAAAAAAGAGAAAAAAAAGAAGAATGACATCAAAACTGAAAACATATGATTGCCTCCATGGACAAAACATGCACAGAGAGTGGGGAGGGGGACAGGAAAGAAACATGCTTCAGAACAATTTTTTTTTTCTCAGACCAAATGGCATTCCACAATTCACAAACAATTGCTCTGAGGAGTCTATAACAGCAACCAGATTAGAAACAACCAGAAATGCTTTCAACTGTTCTGGGACCTAGCATGATTTCTGACGTAGTTGTAAACTGCACAGCACATGAGCTTCTGGCCAAGCAGACCTGCTGAAAAATTCACTTAAGGGCATGCAATTCATAATTAAGAAAAGTTAACTCTGTTACAGGACACCTTATTTACATTAGCAGTGCATAAAACTGTTGTTTGGCTGTAGCATTGTTAAAAGAGCTCCTCAAAGAGGTGGAAAAGTGGATTACATTTCCCAGCAAGTTTTAACTCATTCAGGTCTTCATCAGGGGCATTCCTTTTTGTCCTGTCTTAAAAACTGGGGAGAACACCCTAAATTAAAATCATCAATGTGCTCTGAGATGGCAAATTGCCAGGGCCAGGGGCTATGTCTGTCCATAAAGCATGAAGTGCATTTATAAACAATAAAAGAAGCATGCCACTGTATTTCTATGAGCATTCTTTTTCCATCAGACACGTTTCTAAACAAGGTTTGTAATACACCATGCTTTTAAATATAAGTCATCTTAACTGGCTTATTCCAATTTAGAATAGAAGGTGTGAAGCAAGAAATCAGAAAAGCAATATTTGACTTAACTAGAGTTAAAAGCGTCAAACCTTATTTCTTGCATTAGTGTTATGGCTATGTCAGGGAATACATGATTAATTTTCTTTGCAGAGTACTGAGCTGAGCACAGCTATGGGTGCAACAAACAAGCCCCATACTCCACCAGAATGTATGTATTTTGTGTAAAACTGGCAGCTAACAAGAAAATGCTTAATGAGTTTCCTTCCCTAGTTATAATCAATTACTCAGGTGCAATTCCCAAAAGGCAAATCCTAGAAAAAGAAACCCCTCTGAATAACATCGTGGTTCCTTGTTTAGCATGGCTTAACAATGAGAATGTACAAACAATAATTAAAAAAAATAAACCAAGAAACTCATGTCAAAAAAAAGTCTCTTTTTAAAGAGACCCAGGAGACGTGGCCCTAACACCACGCTTTTATGGATGTGAAACTCTACTGACTAAACTTCAATTTTTGCAAAAAATAGGAGCAGTTTTAGCAAGAAACTGGGTAATGTCAAATCAAATAACAGACCAACAACACTAAAAGATGAGAATATCTTCCTGTTAAAACGTGCAAATAAAACTCTGTTCTTGACAGTTCCAGCCATTCTGCAAGGAATACTACAGCTAACCTAACCTTCATGTTGAAACTAAAAATGTACAGAATTGTGAAACAGTAGTAATAACTGGACTTGAGTGTAGATAGTATCTGATAAAGATTTCCTTAGTATTACACAAATCTACTTTTGTTTCCTTTCATTTCCCTCTGTTTGTCAACACAATTAAGCTAATTCCAATAAAGCAACATACAAAACTTTCCACCTATATCCCAAAAGCATTACATGACATTTAGATTTGCATTAAAGAAAAAGGTCTTTTAGAATGATTTTACCTCCAGCCTAAACATTGATCAGAAATATTTGCAGACCCAGGATAATAAAAAGCTAGAGTAAATAGTATTTCTCAGCACAGTGATTATAAAACTTTTATTGTTCCTCTAGGATACACCAACTCTTAGGTTAAAAACCTTTCAGCCTTCATTATTTAAGAATTTTAAAGAAGTTCTCATGTAGGATCTCTCTGTTGTATAGAAAACCCCCTATTTATAAGGGATACTTAACAAAGAGAGACCTAGCTACAAGACATCTGGCTTTAATTCTTTGCTTAAAGACTGTGTAGTAATAACAGGTCAAGTATAAGAACCCTTGAGGGAGAGAGGAAGTCATACGAATGAATTAGTGGCCCTTATAAAAGCTTGCCAACATCTGCATTAATTACATGAATGCCTTGTTTTTTTACTCTCTGTAGGAATATCTAGATACAGTCTTACACTTTGAATTACAGAGGAGGTCAGGACTCCAGATCTAGTGGACTTTTGCAATCCTGAATAAATTCTCTCTTTGTTTATATATTTCTCGATCTAAATTTTTCTTTCAGATGGATGCTGCCCATATGTTACAATTTCTGCTCCACTGTTACTCCCATGGAGAGGCCAGCTAGACCTGGCTGAATATGTATTTTTATATCAGAAATTTAAGATGTGGTAGATAACCTTTTTTTTTTTTTTTTTTTTTTTTTTTGCTTTATTTTGCACTGGCTTAGAATGTGAATAATTCCCTGATTTTGTAATATCCTCCTGAGCTTTTTCACATAAGTCTGAAAAAAGGAACAATAAGAAAAAATTGTCTTAGTCACAAAATGCCATGCCAGGGCTGAAGGTATGTCACATACATAAGAGTATGTAAAATGTTAAAAAGACAGATTTGTTAAATTTAAAAGCACGACAGCACTTGAGCGATTCAGAGGAATAGCATGAGGCTCACTGGCTTCTTCTCTTGTTTTGAAGACATAGGAACAAAACACTGTCCTCACATAAGGGATTTTGGAGTACTTTTGTTTTTAGGCCATGCTAATCTAAAACCTGGGATCTCCTTTAAAAGGAATCTTTGCAGTCCCTATATAAGAAGTGCAAAAGAAGAGACAGTTTCCTGACAAAAGTTCAAACAGGGGACTTCCAGATGATCCACCTTCTCAAATGCCACCACATATCTTATAGGAAAGTTCTGACCTCCCAGGTCAGCCTATAAATCCCATGGCATCCCATGTAGCCGTGATACTTCTGACTGGAAAGTCTCAAGCAGGAGGTAAATACAACGTATCTCTGAGTACCGAAAGTGTTAACATGCCATAATGGCATATGCAAGCAGGCAGACCCATCCCTCTCCTACCCCTGCAGGAAAAGGGGCAGGGAAGTTTATATTTTAATTTCCTGAAGTTTCACTCAGTGTGTTTCATTGCTTGGGTAAGCCAGATGTACAGTGCCCTGAGATTTACCTCATCCATTTAGTATATCTCAACAGAAGTTTAAAACAAACTGAACTGCAAATTGCCCATATTAACTAAACCTCTAGGACACATCTGTGTACAAAAAAGAAAACGTCTGAATTATAAACAGACAAGACAGATAAAGCAAAAAGGAGTAATAGCAGGCTAAATGCAAAGCCTCCTCTAACCAACTGAAGTTCATTTAATACTGAAGACAGTTATCCCAAACCAAAGAATGAGAAAATCCTGAGTACATGGAGTTAAATCCCTTAACATCATGAGACATAGTTATAACCACAACACAGCACATATAGACCAGGACATGTGGAGCTAGGACTTAACAATTAAAACTCACTCTGCTTCTACAGTCAACACCTAGTCATCCAGTGGCCAGAACGTCCCCTTGCCCTGGCCTTTCCAGCCACTATTTGCTATACTTGTCTTCTTGTCTCCTCTCCCCTGATGGTATGGGGCCACATCAGTGGGAAGACCGGGAAGAAGAGTCCATGTACACAACTTTCCAGTGTTTTGTGCTTGATTTATCTTGCTGCTGCCCCACCTCTCCATCACAGCTTAAAGACTGGGGTGGGGATTTGGATCCAAGGCATGGAGCAGCTTGCCCACGGGATGCTCTTGAGTGAGCAGACCATTATCACCTTCCCCTCTCAGGGAAGAGACCAGAGTGGAGAAGGCACTGGCTGTGTGGAGCAGAAAGGTGAGAAGTCATCTCTGGATCCTGCCAGCTGGGTGGAAGATGACAGCCCACCTGGTGAGGACTGTGCATGGTGAGATGTTTAGGGTGGAAAAGTTTTCAGACATCACTGATTGATACTGTCTAAATGAAGTATTAGCTAGCACAAGGTGCCTGAGGGGTAAAGATCAATTTACAAACTCCACTGCAGTCAGAGTTTGCAGAGTTCCTCTGTCCACCTAACAAAAATAAAATAAAAAAGACACCCGCCGCCACCCCCCCCAGTATGCATGAGTGCATTTATTTCTCTCAGAGAAACAGAGCTGAACATTCTTAGAATACTAAGGTCTGACTTTTACAGAGCTTTTAAAACTTGGAAGCCACAAAAATGATTCCATATCCAAGAAAACTCTGAAGAATATTTTAACCCTAAGCTTTCCGAACACAGTCTGCTCCTCAGGTTTTTTCCCCTTTACTGAATTAACCTCAACATGCTGTTGTTTTCTTACCGAGAACACAGGGACAAGATGAAAAGCAATTTATTTGGCAAGGAAGTCTGAGGAAGATGACAGTTTTGCATACAATGAAATGCCAAGTACAAACCAGAGACCTTGATTTTGCACAAGTCATGCAACTTGCATTCAGTCTCCTTAAAGTTTGTGAGACTGAGAAGACTCATTCTATACAGGATGAGCTTTTAATTCTAAGGTACCTACCCTTGGATCCTCAAAATAGTATTTATCATTCTCAGTGCTGCCCAGAAATGCAGAAAACATCAGAGGAAATGCAGAATCATGAATGGTAGACTAGACTCCAAAACAGCAATAGGTGCCTTACAGCTTTACATTTACTGCATCAGTGAATGGAAAAGCAGTAGCACTGATTTCAGTTTAGGCAAATACTCTGAAGTTTACCAACATACCAGGAAGCCTAGACATGAAAAAGTTTGGGGAACTGCCAACTTCAAAATCGCCAAATAAGGGTATCAATTAAGAATATATTTAAAATAAGCATAAGCAAGTAAGTATAGGAATAATTGAATCAATATGTAAATACTTTCTCAACCCACAACTGCAAAACCACGGGGTTTATGAAAGTAAAGTTGTAACAGATGAGAAAAAATACCCATTTGCAACAAAAATTTCTCCATCACTAATGAAAACCACAAACTATTCTTCAAACTGAAGAACGCAAAAG